TCCTCCTCTTCCTCCTCTTCCTCCTCTTCCTCCACGCCACCACCAGGTGCTCAGACCGCCCAGAGAGGAGCCTCGACCCGGCGTGAAGAAGCCTCTGCAGCCGGCCAGCTTCACCTACACCGGACTGAGCAGGACCTCCAGAGACGAGTCCCACACCGCCGCCAGCTCCTTCTCCCAGACCGCCGCCTCCAAATCCGGATCCCTCAGCTGCGTGTGGACCAGCCGCTCCATGTCCCCGTCCTCCTCCTACAGCAGAACCAGTCCGTCCCCGCAGAGCAAGAACTCTCTGTCCGAGCTGAAGACGGGCGGCGGCAGAGGAGACGTCTTCAAGGCGTCTCCTCTGAAACAAGGCGGAGGTTCGGGGTCGGCGGGTCTCCACGGCGGCTTCGGCGGAGGGCAGGCGGTCCAGCGTTCGCCGCTGGGCCAGAGGAGGCAGGAGGGCGCCGGAGGTCCGACCGGGTCGCTTCAGCACAAGCAGCAGAACTCCTCGCCGACGCCTCGAGACCGAGCCAACCAGGCGCTCAGCCTCCGAGCCCTCAACCTGCAGAGCGTCAGCAGGCCGGCGGTGGGCGGCGGCCATCAGAGCAACAACGCCGGCGCTGCGGCGTCCAGGTCGAGCTTACGGAGCGGCGCCGCGGTGAAAGACACTCGAACGACGGCTGGCGGGCCGCGCTCTGCTCTGGCCACAGGCGGCGGTGCAGAGCAGGTGAGGTTGGCGGACAAAAAGCTGGCAGGAAGCGGCTCCGGCCGGGGGAACGGCGGCGGGAGGCACGAGGAGAGGAAACAGAACCGGAGTCTGAACGAGCTCAGCACCGGAGACTCCGACGAGACCAGCAGCAGCGAGTCGGAGCACGACGCCTTCCCGTACCCCAACGACAGCCGGCCCAGCCTCGCCAACGACGCCACCGAGTCCGACACGGAAACAGACTGGCGGCCGGCCCGGAGCCTCCTGGAGCACGTGTTCGTCACCGACGTCACGGCCAACTTCATCACGGTGACGGTGAAGGAGTCGCCGACCAGCGTGGGATTCTTCAACTCGCGGAATCACTGAAGGACGCTTCATACGACGGCTCAGGGTTCCCTCGCCGCTCGTCCACGCTCAACGCCGGGAAACCGTTTCTGTGGTTTCAGTCGGAGACACTGAAACTAAACTCCTGAAGTCTGAACCCCGTTTACAGCCGATATATCGGAGCGCAGTCTGTGTCCGCAGGAGGGAACGGTTCCCATCGGTTCCCATCGGTTCCCTCAAATTGTTCCCTTTTCTCTTTGTCACCTAAACCTGCAGATCTGCTGCGTCCAGCTTCCCCTCAACGTTAACATAATCAATAATCAACGGATCAAACGTCTAATCAGCTGTTTAATTTGGAGCTTTAGGACTAAGACTGAAAACTCAGTAGTTTTAAGGCTCCGTTCCATTTAGTGTGTCCGATCAATAATCGGTTCCCTCCAGGCTGCAACGACACCAGACGCTCACTGACCATTGATTCTCACATTTAATGAATTATACAAAACAAATCAACTATTTTTATCATTTTCACTTTCTGTCTTTATACAAAGAAACATGAAACAGTTTCAGTAGGTGTCACCTGTGTTTACCGATTATACCTAAAAATAGCTGCTGTGAAAAAGGACCACAGACAGAATAGTTTGAGTTCGGCTGGACGTCGTTTGTTCTCTCTCTTAAACTTAATTCCACTTTGTAGGTTGTTTGTTTTTGCTCGCCGCCTCTCTCCGTTCACAGACTGCGCTCCGTTAGCGGTGTAAGTCGAGCTCTGAACCAGATGCAGACCACCACCTCTCCAGTGCCTCGGGTTCTTCCAGAGACGGTCGCCGCCTCCGCTCAGCTGCTCGTGGTGATTCGTTTGAGTCGTCGTGTTTCCAAACTGAACGTGTTGCTTTCTCCAGAGCAGCATGTTTCAAAAAACAACAAAAGAAGTGAATCCGTCTGTCGGTGAATTTGATCCACACGATCCCCTCGGGGGCTTTGTACTCGTCTTTCAGTTCTCTTTGGACCAAAGTGTTAATGAATGTGAATGATCTGGTTTTATTTTATTGACAGTATTCTTGCACTACGCACATTGTAAGCTTCTCATCTCAGAACAGACTTTCCATCACCTATATTTACCAGTTTTATACCATTTTAATACGTTTTGCCGTCTCAGTGTCTTTTGGAGTTGAAATATGTGTTAATTTATATTTGTAAATATGTTTTTCCATGTGATATCTAATATGTATCTGGTGCTCATACTGGCTGACCAGCTTCAGACACTGTAGCCTGTGTGCCTCTCTGCCATTATGAAGGGATTTGAAATAAACCAGAAGTACGAACCTGTTTCTGTGTAACACTCTTTATCAAAGGGTTCATTCTTTTTCCTCGTACAGTTTTTCTTTCACAGTTTTTATCGTCCTGATCAAACATTGATGAATCATTGATTGATTGATTGATTGAAATGAAGCTGAAGCATGAAGTTCCCGTCTCCACCAGCAGGCGTCCCCGTTGGACAGTTAATGTCCAGTCTGCACCCTCCTTCACCTAATGTATGATCAATATTCTTTGATTCAGAATCAATAACAGCTGATAAACAATCACTGCAGGAAGTTTGATTATTGATCAGAGATGAGTTTTCCTGATTTATTGATACTTTCTCATCGTTCTGGTTGGGAACCAGCGACTTAAAAGGGCCAGTGTGCAGATTTAAAGGCATCTTGCTGATTGCGACGCCCTCGCCTCACCCTGTTTTTCCTAGCGTGTAGGAGTTACCATGGCGATGGTTCAACTCGAGGAGGCTTCTGAACGTCTCACTAACATTAAACTTTATAGTCTAACACTAACGGAGGATTACAGAATATTACAGACTCGGAACCACAGAACCCACTTTCAGTCAGAGGTCAATGGATCCTTTTAGAACATGTTTGAATTTTAGTCTAACTTTGGTAATTTATCGAGTTACAGTAAATTAAATAGACACATCCTCTAAATAAAGTTTATTTAAATCAGTTAGAGACTAATTACTGAAAGTTTCCGTCATCTTTTCTTCAAACTTTCAATAAATCAGTTCTCAGGAGAGTTTTAGCTCCTAAGCAATGCATGCTGGGAAGTCTGCTACTGATAGAAACTTACTTTAATGAGTTGATTAAAGTTAAAATATCTCAAATTCATAAGAAAATAAAAGCTATTTGAAATAAATGAGGAAAGTTGACTACTGTATTCCTGTAAGGTGATAATATATTATTATTATTATTATTATTTTTATTATTATTGAACAAAAAAGCCTCCAAACCCAACAGGAAGTCGGCCATTTTTAATTTAGTGGTCATTTTTGTTGATTTACACGTGTTTTAACGAACTCCTCGACGGATTTGATCGGATCCACTTTAATAACTTTCATCTGAACTCGCCACGATTAAATTCGAAGGGTGTGGCGCCGGATTTCGATGTTTCGCCATAAAAACATGAAGTTGTCGTAACTTCAGTGTATTTTGTTTAATCTGCGTCAAACTTCAACACGTCTACATGCAAACATCCACATTTACTCACAGCGCCCCCTACTGGCAACAGCAAGTAAGTGTTCTGTAGGACCGATCTGATTCCTGTCAGATAAACATTAAAAACTATATTTCTGTCTGAAATATGCTGATCACGTGTGTGTGTGTGTGTGTGAGAGAGTGTGTGTGAGTGTGTGTGTGTGTGTGAGTGTGTGTGAGAGAGTGTGCTGTCCAATCAGCTGGTTGGACGGAGCTGTGACGCTG